TATGTATATGTACACATACTCATCAAGAAAACATAGTAAACTTTTCAAGAATTTTCATTTTCCTTGTCGATAACAGAATTAAATTTTCTGCTCTTTCAATGGCTAAGATTCATCCTCAAACATCAGTGAAGGGTTCTGATCACTCAACATCAGAAAGAGAAACGTTTACAATATGGATGAAATCCCTTGTATTCCATGGAAATGGTTGCACTGTTTTTAATTCCAAAGGCGAAGTCGTTTTTCGAGTTGATAATTACCAAACAAGACATAGCAGTGAAGTTTTTCTCATGGATTTCAATGGTGAAGTTCTATTCTCCATGAAAAGAAAGGTAATTTTACAGAAACTTTACTTGATTTTTGGTTGTTCTCGTGTTTTACAATTTAAGCCTTTAGATGACATGGTTTACTATAGAATCAAAGGTTTTTGGGTTCAAATTTTAGGACCACCCAATTTTGAAAATTTTATGCGTCAAGGCTTCAATGAAAAACTGACGACGATGGCACTTTTTATTATTTCTTTTGCATAGATTACGAATTTTTGAAAGTTGGGAAAGCTATAAATGGATTGATTCTAAACTAAATAAGGAGATATCATGGTTTCAAGTAAGAAGCAATTGCAGCATTTTCAGAAGACACAAGCACAAGACTTGCCATGTTAGTCTGGGATGTGACAAAACTACACGAAGAAGCAGCTACCAGATAACAGAATTGGAAGGAAAATCAACATTTAAAATTATAGACAATGCTCGCCATCTTGTAGCACAGGTTAGTTTGGTGCTTCTATTTGTGTAGAGACGGTTTAATCTTTTAGATGAGGAGGTTCAACGATTCATTTTATTTATTTATTTTTTGTTAAAACTCCCATACGTGAACAACTCTTATAGAAGAGTGTCGGCTAGACTTTAATAAAATATAACTTTTGAAATTATTTTTAATATTTATTTGCATTTTGCAAAGAACATAATAATGATATTTTTCTGTTATATTTGATTGATATACAGGTGATAAAGAAGCAGTCTTTATCAGGAGTTCCTTTGGGTGATGATGTATTAACTTTAGTGTTGGAACCTCAAATGGATTATTCACTAGTTATGGCTCTTGTGACAGTT